TACATGATGGAGGTGAAGTAAAAGTAAATAAGCAGGTTTTGGTTGCCTTTTCTATTGGTAAATATTATGATGTGGTGTCATGTGATGTTGTGCCAATACAAGTTAGTCATTTATTGCTTGGGAAATCTTAGCAATATGATAAAAGAGTTATACATGATGAAGTGAAAAATAGGTATTCCTTTGAGATGAATGGAAGACCTATAACTCTTATATTTTTGACACCTAAGCAAATATATGAGGAGCAACTAAAATTGAAGAAGTAAAAGATGGTTGAAAATGAGAGTTTATATATCAAGGAGACCTTCTTTGCTAATATGATTTTTCTTGGTTTTAATGATAATGTTATTCTTTAGCTTGGTAATGATTTTTTTACCTTAGATGATTTTTTACATGGTATGTATTTGAGATCGAATCTTTTTAAAGAAGGGGAGGGTGATACAAACCAAGTCAAATATGAATTTGGTCTTAAAATGTCTACTGATCAGTTTTGCAAGATCAATCATATCTATTAAACCGTAAATTGGAACGAGCTAAAATTATACATAGAAATACTAGACACATGGAACTATATTATAGTAAATTTGCAAGTCCAATGAAGTTCAAGAACATATTATTAAAGATGGTCAAAATTACAAGATAAATCTTGTCAAATTTGCCATATTAGACCATTGTGTATTGTTTATGACATATTTAAAGCTATAGGTGGAGTATTGTTTTTCTATTCAAGTTAGTATGAAAACTATACATCTTAATCTTTTTAACCATATATAATAGACCTAGTAATTCATTCATATGAGAGAGAATAACATGTTTAAAGTCACTGAAAATCTACCAAGAATATGCAAAAATTAAAAATTCGAGCAACATGGAGGAATTTTGGCATGAAAATAATTTTTTTATTATAATAATTTTTTATTTATTTAATACTGAATAATAATTTTTAATTTGAGCTTATTCTAGCCAATTAGACATTATTTAAAGATTTATTTAATTAATAAACTTATGCTAGTTGATTACTAGTTTAGAACTACTAGCTTGCAACCCAAAATGGATCCACTAGGGTTAGTTAGAAAAGACTATATTGTATTTTTTTAATTGTAAATTTTAGCAGTAAGTTGAAGAATAGACATGAGTTTTTTATTTGTTTGTTTGTGATAAGAACAACATTTTTTTTGTGGGGACAAAGATCGTATACTAACTTATTAAAGATTAACTAGTTTTGTGATATCATTTACATACTCACAGTTCTTAGATACAAGGTTATCTATAAGTCCAAACATTTTTTCAATACCTTTGATTCTTAGGTATAAAGATATCTTTAGGTCAAGAATCTATCAAACCTGTCTTTCCGGGTTGTTATCTATTTTGTTGGGGGTTGCTTGACCACATGATTAAGAAATTCGCATCAAACCCTCTTACACTCCTGCACAAACACCTAGTCATGACTTTCCCTATGTCTTCTGACGCTGCCTCCTCATAACAACAATGAAACACCCATCACACCTTTAGCTTTGCTCATGGAGAAAAAGATTGAAACAATAAAAAAAGTATAAACTAAGATAATAAAAGAAGAAAAAAGAAGAAAATAAAATCTACTGTTTTATATGGTCTTTCTTTACTTTATAGATAACAACAGACTTCATCATATGAACCCACATGCTGGTAATGGTGGTGGTGCCAAGTATATGTATAGCCATTATTCAAGTAGTCTTCTAGTGTTGATTTTGGTATATTCTTGACACATCCACCTTAAAATGTTAATTTATGACTTCAAATTATTTTTTAAAACAAATTGTCCATCTATATCCTTGACAAAATGCTCATTGTTATGAATAAATTTTAGATTGTTTGAACATTATTTTACATGGATTGATGTATGTCAAATTGTGAGTCTATTTTAGGGTTATGATTGTTAATTGGATATTAAATGTTGGTTCATGACTTACTTTTGGGTTTATGTTGATTTGAATATTAAATAATGATTCATGGATTATGTTTGGATTTATATTGATTTATTTGATTTGGAATAACATTTGAATTATGTACTTGAATTTAATAAGAGTTGGTGGATTTTTTATGTTACTTGATTTTAAGTTGATTAACATTTAGCTAGCATTGAGTTAACATCCTGATTAAAATAGGTGATATTTTTACTTTATTTTCTGTTTGTTTTGCATATTGCCAAATATGTCATTGGTCTTAGTTTTAATAAATTGTCAAATTTTTTAAAGATCATCTTAAAATTAACTTTGAATTCCTCATTTTTTTTATCCTTTCATATTTAATATTTGAAATTATTTTCTACACGCGAGGCGCTTTTTTCGTATCTAATATATCGGTTTCCTTCTAAAAAAATAAAAAAAAATATTACTTTCAAAAATACAACTTTATTTTAATTTTCTTATGGCTAACACTCTAAAAAATACAAATAAAAATTATTTTTTATAAATAATAAAAACAAAAAAAAAATACATGGCATGATTTAACATTTTTTAAATACCAAAATTCAAAAAAAAAATAATTTTATTGATATTTTTGCATGCATTATTGGATTTAATAACTAGTTTATAAAATCTATGGAAGCTTGACCTATATTTTAAAAATACAAAAAAAAATTAAGATAATAATTACTTTTATCTTTACATTAACCCGGGTCAATAGTTAACTCAGTACATAACTTGGGTCTTATCTTAAGTCAATTTTCTAATCAAGTTTTAAAATTATAATAATAATTATTTTTATTTTTATATTAATTCAGATTCATTAATTAAACTTGCGTAAAGACTTAGACAAATTTTTTTTTTATTGGAATAAAAATTTTGTGAGCAACCTTTAATATGATAAAAAATAATTTTTATATTGTACAAAATTACAACAAACTACTTTATAAAAAAACAAATATCGTGTAACATCCATTTTTTCCCAGCATACGACACATTGGCTCAGAAAGACAAATGTTCCATTACATTGAAGATGTTAACAAGTATCATGTCAGAATATTTAAAGTTAAGGTTGGAAAGTCCCTGAAGCAACATGTATTCAGTTCATGGAAGCTTCTCGCACTGTTAGCTTTCATCTTGTTCTTGCTTTTAACATCGCTGCAAGCATTTTGCTCAGTTCATGGCTGTTCTTGCTTGTTTTATAATTGTTTTTTATTAAAAGTTGCTTTTATGTTGATAATAAAGTTTTATTTGAAAAACATCAATGCTTCTAAAAACAAAATAAATAAATAAATAAGAAAATAGAGTTTTTGATTAAAAATATATATATAAAAGAAATAATTTAATTCAAGTCATTAGAATTTTTATTAATACTATTTTTTATAATTACCCATTAATTAATTCTTATTAAATAAACCATGTTGCTAATAAAAAAACATATATTAATGTTAAAACAAAATAAATACTACAATATTGAGTGAAGATAATGTTGAGTAAAACAAGATATTTTTCTTTTAGAATTTAATCAATGGTTTTTTAACAAATATTTATTTTAATTTTTATATAATTAAATAAAAATAGATTTTGAAAAATGCTGGATATCGTAGCAGCGTGTGCGTGTTTAATGTGTTCAGTTTTAACATTGGACAGGTAAGAAGAACGAAGATTCTAGCTATAAGCAAGAATCCTACCGACCGAACTGAAATTTCGTTTGTCAATTAGGCAGTCAACCCACTAATTAATTCAAACTCGGCTTGTGTTTGCAACAACGAGACACCAGAAGCCATATGATCCATCCATGGTCTTCAGTCAATTTATTACTGTGGTTACGCGTTATCAAATTCTGGGTTCTCATCGTGAATTTTCAGAGAGTTGCACGGTATGGAATTTCCTTGCAGCTACGAGTGATTCTTTCAGTGATCGTGTCAGATTGCCTCCTCAGAAAGTCTCCCATAATTCCACAAAATGAAAGTTCTTTGCTCCTGCAATCCCACAAGACCATGATGTCGATCTTAGCTCCATTTCACACGAGAAAAAAACTACCAGTCTAGACCTAACTGCAAGTACAGCAGATGAAACCAATTATTTTTCCTTTATCTTTTAAGATCACTACATTTTCTTAATATCTTTCTCCTCCCTTGTAGGGCACAACTTTTATCTTCAACTTATAATCGGTTTGATTAATTTCACAAAGCTTTTAATTTGGAATTTTAGAATCCAATTGTTTCTTAAACCATCCTGAGATCCCTACCCGGAACTAAAAACCACCCAATGAATTTTGCATGTTCTTGCGATCCAATAAAAAAAATGGAGAAAAGTAATTTCGCAGGGAGGAGTTGAGGATCAATAAAGGAATCCAAATACGGAACGAATTTATGGAAAACAGAGCATCCAAACATGAAACTAAACCTAAAATATCCTTACTGTTTAAAACAGTAAAATAACGTTTGATAAACAGGCCGGCGATGGTTGAGGTGGGAGAAAATAAGATAAAATATTTAGACTTGGAGGTAGGAAATGAGGGTGGGTCCCAATTGTAGGGCACAAAACTGGTGAATTATGTGTATTATTTAATTTGTATGTTTGTACTGCAACATCCGTAGTCAACATGGCAACCCTGCATTGTCAAGATTCTTATATAGACAAATTTCTGTTTTGCACGCAAGTGGGGACTGTAATATTTTTTTATTTATTTTAAATATGGTATTTAGCTACAATTATGGGAGAGAAACATACACAAAAAAAAGAAAAGAGATAAGTGATCGAAAATTCTATCTACTCGTTCTTATTTCTTTAACTTCCTCATTCTATTTTTCATATAATATGTAACTATTATTTATTATATAGCTTGACGTCATAAAATTTGTTAACACACTAAAAAAAAATACTAAATTGAAAAAAATAAAATAAAACCTGCGCCCAGAACGAGAAACCATATAAAAGCATACATCCCCCCATCCACTGAAGCCACCAAATTGAACTGCACAAGTACTGACGCCGAACGACTGCGCTCCGTGACTGTTTTGCTAGCGAAAAGTTTTTTTTATAACAAAAGCAACCATGTCTTCTCTCCAACCCACCCTGTCATCTTGTTCCAGCCTAATCTTCGATGAGCTGCAATGGGTTAATACAATCCGTCGAACAATCGAAGACGAGGTTGAAGATGACAGTAATACTCCCACATGCATTTTTAATGTCCCCAAAGCCCTAATGTCTAGTGACCCAGATTCTTATACTCCACGACAACTTTCACTTGGTCCATACCATTACTCACGTCTTGAGCTACATGAGATGGATAGATATAAGCTATCAGCGGCAAAAAGAAGTCAAAAGCGGCTTCAAAGCCTTAAATTTCGAGATCTTGTTGAGCAATTAATGAAGCTCGAATCCAAGATTCGTGCATGCTACCACAAGTACTTACACTTCAACAGTGAAACTCTAGCATGGATGATGGCCATTGATGCATCATTCTTGCTTGAGTTCCTACAAGTCTATGATCTCCGTGGCCCTAAAATGCTATCCGAAGTTTCCTCAGGAACGCCTCATGTTCTTGAATATTCCAATAGGAAATCAAGCTGTAATGCAATTCTTCGAGATATAGTGATGTTGGAGAATCAAATTCCACTATTCACATTGAGGAAGGTGCTAGAATTTCGATTTCTGTCATTAGAATCCGCCGACGACATGTTGTATTCCATGTTAATGGGATCATGTGTAGAGCTTTCTCCATTTAAGACAATGGTGAGATTGCCAGTAGCAAGAGTTTCGGAACATGCCCACTTGCTAGACTTTTTGTACCACATTATCGTGCCCAAGGTTGAAGAGTCTGTCAATATACCTGAAGAAGTTAAGGACCATACCAAAGCCAAACAAGAAAACGAAGAGTCTTCAGTTGGCTCTACTTACATGAAGCAACTAATGATTGAGATTTGGAATCTGTTTTCAAGTCTAAACATAGATCCTGCAAGGTTCCTCAAAAAATTGCTAGAATCAGCACCTGTTGCAGTGATACTCAAATTGCCTTGGCCAATCCTCTCCAATGTTCTTGGGTTTGGATCCGCGAAACAACCTGACGCTTTCTCTGAATCTCAAAGTGTTTGTTCCAGCATTGACCAATCACCTCGGGTTGAAGAAATCACAATTCCTTCCGTCACTCAGCTCTCCAAATGCGGGGTGCGTTTTGTGCCTAGTAAAGGCAGCATCTCAACCATCAACTTTGACAAGAAGACATGTACATTTTACCTCCCGACTGTTAGCTTGGATGTAAATAGTGATGTAGTCTTAAGAAACTTGGTAGCATATGAAGCATCAAACGCATCAGGTCCGATGGTTTTTACACGTTACACAGAATTGATGAATGGGATTATCGATACCGAGGAGGACGCAAAAATACTTAGAGAAAGAGGCATTATTTTGAATCATTTGAAGAACGATGAAGAGGTGGCCAACATATGGAATGGGATGAGCAGGTCTATTAGATTGACAAAAGTTCCATTCATGGATAAGGTGATTGAAGATGTTAACAAGTATCATGATGGACTATTTAAAGTTAAGGTTGAAAAGTTCATGAAGCTGCATGTATTTAGTTCATGGAAGCTTCTCACACTGTTAGCTTCCATCTTGCTCTTGCTCATAACATCGCTGCAAGCGTTTTGCTCAGTTTATGACTGTGCTCGCTTGTTTCGTATCCACTACTAGCTAGTCTTTGGAGTCTACATTCCCCATATCGTAACAAGCTGGACTGGTTGTTGCTCGACATGGAAGGCCGTGTTTGTCTTTCCCACTTTAATTTTTTTCAAAGACCAGTGCGGGGCCAACAAGTGGGAGGCGTTAGCATTTTTTAACGTTTTCTCCTCAAGAAATAACGAGTCCTTGTTTAATTTTTTTGTTTTTTCCTTCTGTGAGAATAAAGAAAGATGCATAATTATAGATATTAATTAATGTGATAATTAAAATTTATGATCAAGGAAAGATTTGTGTATTTACTGCAATATGTCATCGTTGTATTCATTTCCGAAAGAGAAACTGAAGTCGTACAAAGTTCCGAGAGCTTTAACCTTACCCATCACGGGATATGTATAATATACGTACAAGCAAGTATTAACATATGAATTTCATTTTAAAAATATGATAAATAATCACCCTAAAATCAATGATTACTAATAAAATAGAAGGATAAAGTATTGAGGGTCAGTGGCGTGCTCCTCCGATGGTGGTGCATATATAGTCTTAGGGTTGCTACTATTTTGCGTGGTTTTTTGTATAATATATACATATGCTAACAGGAGAAGATAGTCAAATAATTTTGAGGTATGGAAGAATTTTATATCTTCCTATATCATAGAGCAATTGAGATAGGTATTTAGAGTTATTAGCGTTGAATAGTTTTAGAAGGCAATCATGAATTGAGTCGTTGAACAGAAACAATGAAACTCATAGCTATATTAGCAAACTTATCGGGAGGTCGATTCTTTTTATTAACAATGTAAAGCGTTTAGTAAGGCTATATTTTATTTTTAAGTATTTTTAAAATAATTATAATTATCTGTAATAATATTTAACTAATTATTTATTTTATAGGCTATCTAGTTTGGGCACGAGCCAATTCTAATTGAATTATATGTGGAAACATACATGGAAAAAAAATGCAACAGTTTCATAGACAATCAAGCTAAAGTGTTTGTTATAAGTAAATTTTGAAATTATTTTTATATTTTTTAAACTAATATGTTTTTGTTGAAATCTATAACTTATTTTTTTTATGGAATTTTTTTATGGAATACTTATTATGTCAAATATGAAGAGATCCTTCAACCCTTTCAAAATACAATTTATAATTATAATGGGTGGCTGATGCAAGTTTTTAAAAATCAAGTTTATAATATGTTTATAACTATAATTCGAGATATGAAATTGAGTTGTAATATTTTTACCATGAACACTTGATAATCTGTCCTAGGCAATAAACACCGACCATTGAAGAATTGTCTCAAAAATAAATTTTTGCTCTAAGAGATGAAATGAAGGCCAGGTAGGTTTTGAAAACAAAGATGGAAGCAATTGGACATACTTATCCGGTCTTATCCTATCTTTACGAGAATTATTCTTCTTCTTTATAATTGATTTTTATAGTTAAATTAATAATATAAAATATATTCTTAATTTAATTGTTTAATATTTTTTAATGTCAACTTATTTGAGTCACATTAGTATGTAGTTAAAAAACAAATTACTGAAAACGGACATAAAAACTTTGTCATTACCAGGAAAAAGTTAGTTCACGCATGCTGTTCTCGTTCCCAAAGTCAAAGGGCCGAAAGAGATGTCAGATTTTTTATATGTAGCTTTGTCAGTTTAAAAAAGTGTGGTTATGATTATTTTTGGAAGAATTTTTTATTTAAAAATATATTAAAATAATATTTTTTATTTTAAAAAAATTATTTTTTATATTAATATATAAGATGATATAAAAATATTAAATTTAAATAAAAATATTTATCTGATGCGCGGAAAGTGTCTCTATGCTAATTTAGAAATAAGAAAGAGAGCAGCTAGCTAGCGTCGGGTATAGCTATGAGCAGGAGTCCTAGTAGGCTAGTACCTTCCATCTATTTTCTGCTGACAACAAGCTTTCGTCTGCAAATGCCTGTGTTCCTCCTTCTAATAATATTGTTGACATACTGAGGAGAGACCGAAGTTGAGTCAAGGCAACAGGTTTACACTGGTAAGGGCTCTGGTATGTTTAGTCCGAGTACAAGAGCAGATGTGCCAGAGAGGATTTCAGAGAGTCGTAGGGTGCGTGGCACTACTAGGGATGGTCGGTGTCATGGCTAGTTGGAAAAGTTGGCTTTCATATGGTTAGAGGGAAATTCTGAAATCCTAATAAAGTGGGATAGATCAGTGTTTTTTTGGGTTATAATTTTATTTTATATATATATATATATATATATTCTTTATTTCTCGTCAAAAAGATTGAAATTTCTTTATCTCTTTCACCTTCTAAAGGTATTTGTTGGTTTATTGCAATTTAAAAAACTTATTTTGAAATCATTTTTGGTCTACTTTCATCTTTTATGTTGATTCTAATTCTTGTATAGTGAGAAACACTACCAAATTTAATAATTTTACCGACAAAAATTTCTATCAATATTTATATTAGAAGTCTATCAGTGTATATGTTAACTGAAGCACTCACGGATGGAAACAATCCGTCAAAAAAACTCTCATCGATAATTTATGCACCATCGATAGTAAATATACTGATGGATTTACAGACGAACAATGCGCGCTAAAAAAATTTATTTGCTTTATTCCTTCAGTATATCCATCAGTACATATAACATATCATCAGTAGAATATTATCTATAATTATGTTAGTGCGTTAACAGTAGCAATAACATTTGCTGTAATTTTTTTCGACTCTCTAGAATATATCGATAGTCTAGTTTCACCGGTAACCACGTCAGTAATATTTTAAAAACATATATTGAACAGAAATAGAAAAATAATTAAAATCAAATAAATTCATGTAAAAATCAAATATTTAATACAAATTTAAGCATTTTCATGTTCAAATACAATAAATCTAAAATAAAGGTAGCAATAAAGGAGGAGGAGAAGGCTAGTCATCGTCAGGACTGTAGGGCTAATTAGGAGGTGCACATGAACCACCCATCTGTAATCTTATCTTCGTTACCAATTGAAGGAGTTTTTTATAATTAGCAGTGAGTCGTTCATATTTATCATTAAGATGGGTTGTCCAATCTTATACCTATTGGTCTAATATCACCATAAACTCCAAAGTTTGAAAGCTCCATTAAGCTTGGTTCGCGTCTAAGAAACGTTGCCTGCAATAAAAAAAAATATTGTCATTTAAATATATTAATAAAAAAACAACTAATAAAAAAATAGATGTAATAAAAAAAAATCATACCATCCTCTTTGTATGTGAAACGAATGAAATGGAGCCACCAATATGCGTGATAATGAAATCGTGAACCCATCGATTCTGGTTATTTGAATCGGATTATGATCGTCTAGTGAAATGCATGAACATTACATGTTGAATGTATTCCGTCCGTACATTCTCTGAGACATACAATGGTCTGAAATCCTTCTGAACCACTGACACGACTAAAAGATTGATATCTTCTCCCAAGTGCAGGAGTGTCAAAGTAATAAATAACCCGGCAAGACCGGGGTCGAATCACAGGGAGGTTAATTGTACAAATTATAAACAACAATTATAAACAACAACAATAGCAATAACAACAAGTACCAAGTGTTATATAGTATAAATCTAGATTAGTTATTTAACAAGCAAAGTATTAAAGAGTGAACAAGATAACAAATATAAAACATGTTAGTATCAAACATTAAAGTCCATATTAAGTTTACATTATACTTATTCTTACACCATTAGTGTAACCTTTTCACCTTGACATAATTAACTTAGCTAGACATAATGAAAGAAAGAAAAATAAATAAACAAAATAAGAACATAAATAAGATAAAAGTTAACTAAGTAAATGAAAGGAAATGAAAGGCATAAACTTGATATTAATGAAAGCAAAGGATAAACATTACAAAAAATACAAAGAGAGAAAGGCAGAGCATGATCTTGATCTGGAAACCAAGATGCCTAAATGCATGGCAAATGCCTCCTTTTATAGGCCAAAATTGGGAACTATTGATTTGATGACTAATTGATGAGTGGGTGACCAACTCTTGACTTCGTGACAATCCTTATCTGCTCTTATTTGCCCAAAGCATCATTGATAACGTCAAAATTGGAGCCACTTGAAACATGAAAGTTGTAGGAAATTGTCTTAGCTTTCCTATGTAAAACATTCAGCTCATTTGGACTTCTAGAACTCCAGATATGACCAAAATACTGAACAGTGCTCGGGCTGAAGGACAGATTCGGGCTTCTTTGTTGTTGCTACAATTTGGACTTGAAAATGGTCTTTTTAGATCTTGGGCTCTATATGAAAGTTGTAGGCCTATGTCTTACCTTTCCATCCATATAAAGTAGACCTAAATCTAAGATTTATAGCTCCAGATATGACCCAATTACCGAGCAGTATTCCAGTTTGGATTGCACCGACATCTCTTTTCTAAGTTTGGCCATCTCTTTATCCTTTCAATTTCAGTTCTTAAATTCATCAATCAATCCTTTCATTTATGTGATAGGCCTGCATTTAAAATGAACATTTACCACAAATTAAAGGTATCTTATATTATTAGATATATTATTATAAAACATGCTTTAGTTAAGGAGTTATTGATACTTCATGTGCAAAATGATGATATAAAACATTGATAAAAATACACTTTTTAGTACTAATCAACCACCATGTCATTCCAGCCTAGAAGCTCTCTTTCTTTCATACATTTTTTTGGCTTTCTTTTGCGTCTCATGCCAAAAATCATACAACCTACATGATACAAATTAATTATATGTTAGGAAATAAAAAATAAAATTTTAATATTTAGAATTAAAAAATATCATGATTTCAATCTTACTTAACTACAACATGATTCTTCTAAACCCTCTTTGCAACATTATTATATCAACTCTCTCTCATTCAAATTTTTCCTTAAAGTAAAAATTTTTAAATGGAAAATTTCAATAATTTCAATAAATAGTGAAAATTAAAATAAAAAATATTTAAGTTAATATTAACAATGAACCTTGA